GCTATGACTTTGGAGTTAAGAGTGGGGTTGAGAGGATCATAATTGATCTCTTCAAGACAATCATATTGCTCATTTCCAATAGAGAAATGGAAGAGACAAAGGTCGGAGTAGGAGGCCCATTCAATGGCTTTAATAATAGCTATGAGTTTAGACAACTTGGCATACAGAGAATTAATAGAATCCCCAACATAGCTATGAAGAAAACCTTCCTAAGAAGCAACCAATATTGAGGGATTTTCAAACAGTAATTCTTGAAAATGAATATGTGATTGTTCTTGGAGCAATGACTAATAAATAAAATTAGAGAGGAATGCTTCAAGCATTTAAGACTATCACTTTTGTAATACAAGTGAGTAAAAAATTTCACCTAGGCTTCATTGACAAGACCTTGTCATGTTTAATGTGAATCGAATTATCTAACTTGTTATTGAACCAAAAATGGCTCAGTAGAAGCCAATTCAATGAGTCAAGAATAAAAAACCAAGTTGTTCAATTCCCAAAGCTTCTCAACATGAATAGGTTTCCCTTCAGATTTTTCTTTATAGTTTCTACAGTAATTGAAGACCCTCACGGCATACGGAATTCCCAAATTGAAGTTCTTTCAGCTAGGGATTCCGCAACATATACAAAAAAAAGCAAAAAATTTATTCTGAGTGTGATAGTAAAATTTTCACCATTAATAATTTAGCTTGAAGTATGAATAGAGGTAAATATAACCTTGCAGAAATCCCATTTCAACCCGATCCTCTTTGATTTGGAGTGGGAGAAGTTATGAAAGTTACCTTCATTGTCAAACAATCTGTGTCGTCAATCCAATAATTAGAGATTTCGTTGGGGAAGATTTTGGCCACTATAATACATAAGAAATCAAGTTTGTTGGTGTGAGACCTCGTTTCCTTACTGTTCCTCTCTAGCTTGGATTTTCCTCCCAGGATCGTCCTGGACGATAGTGAGATCGTCCAAGCCGATCGGTACTGTTCAAAATATCGTCCTGAAACTAGTTCTGGGAACCGTCCAGGACGATCGATTTTGGTCTGATCGTCCCGGGACTATTTTGCGATCGGCCGGGCCGATCAGCCTAATGATATAAGAAAATCAGCTCGTTTTGAGGAGAGAGAAAATCATTTTATTAAAATCAGATATTTTGAGGAGAGAGAAAGAGAGGAAAAGTAAAGGAAAAGCTTGGTTTTGGAGGCCGCGGAGCGCTTTTCGTCCGACGCCGCTGTTGGAGAAAGTGTAGATCTCGTGGTAAGGACTCCGAATCCTATTTTTGTTTTCAGAGATATTGAGTTTTGACCGAGTTGCGCACTGTTTTGTGTTTTCGTAGTCGAACTTTTGACCTGATTTGGTATTGACACAACTTTCACCGCACAACTTTTGATATGTTATAGATATGACTATTGTACACGATTTGAGTATTTTCTGCGACATTTTACCGGTCGGAATTGATTCTACGCTATTTTAATTGAATAGAAAAATATCAGGACTTGATTTGATGTGGATTCTATAGATTAATAGTCTTATATTGATGTCGTGGATATTCTACTGTAATTTGGAGAGATTTGGAATTTGTGCTTTTTGCAGGATTTTTGTGTAAATTTGA